TCCAGGGGAGTGTAGATGAGGGGAAGTGCTACTATGCTGGGATCTGATAAATCAAGAAGCATTGAGATTGATGTGTTATGCTGAAGAGGTTCTAGTAGGTGCAGCTAGCACGGGGAAGTAGCCTCTCTGATGCATTGGAGCAGAGGCTGCAAGGCACGGCACTCTGAGTGCTTGTGCTTCTGCTCCCTCTTTGAAAAATAAAGATTGCATTTTCCTACCTCTTGATGATGTGTCTTTGAAATGCATGAGACTATGTAGGTCTAAAGTGTTGCCAAATTTCACATTGGAGATTTTTTTAAAATTTCTTTTTCTTTTTTGTAGGTTTATAAAATTTCCCCCAAATTTGCTTTCTTGGTGACATCAGGTCCTTTTGTTTACACGGCAGTAGCCGTCATAAATGTGCTTGTGAACAGCAGTCTTCTTCGTGGTGAGGCCCCCATGATCCTCTCACTGCATCCTTCTTTCACCGTGCCAGATAACAGATTCCAAGTTCAGACAGGTGAGTTCTTCCTGACTCGGAAGAGGAGGAGCTGTAGCTTCGGATTGATTCACATTTCTTCAGTTATGATTAAATATGCAAGGTTGAGTCAAAACCCTGCATTCTGCTGCTGTGAATCTTAGTTCTTGGTTGTTAGTGAAATACTTGCCAGCTCTGTGCTTGAGAGATGATAAATGGTCAACAGTTAACCCCAGAATTTCATTATTTTTTCCGAAAATTTTGTTGGCATGTTGCGAAATAGGTGTGCTCTTTTTCTTGCTTCAAAAGGTGAGAAGAGAAAGAAAATTGTGAAACATTTACTCATAAAATCACAGTGCAGCTACTTTATAATGTTTGAGTCAAATTTCAAATTATGTTTACTTTAAATGCTACTCCTGAGAATTCTCATAATGTAGGAGAATTGGTGAGCAGGAGGATTGATAGCTCATGTGTAACGTGAGCAGGAGAATTGCTCATGTAGTATTCAGCTTTCCATGGCTGCCGTATGGCAGCAGTTTATGTGAAGTCTACTAATAAGACTGAGAGTCTTGAGAGTCAGTGGTATCGTTTCAAATCTTCAGGCACTATTTGCATAACAGAACAACCCGCCTGGTTGGTTGGCTGCATAATGAGGTAGTGACAGGGATTGGGTATATAGGCAGAGAGTTAATGAATGTCAAACACAATGGTTTTGTTCAGGTGTGTTTCGTGTGTTGTTTCTGCTGTGTTAATAACTGTATGGTAAGACATCACTTCTTTAAGTGTACATGTGTGATGTCTTTTTCCACTGCTTAACATGGCTGTGTAGATAAACACTCCCTCTTTCTCTTTTGTGCTCTTTCTTTCTCTCCTGTGAAAGACTTTAAGGTGTACGTATCTAGATTTAAAAGATTGTTTGCTAATTAAGTGGTTTGAAAGTGTTAGACTGATACTGATGTGTATTAATGGACTCAATATGTGGTCCTTTAGACAAGCTAAATACTATATTTCAGTCTACAAGAAAGAGATTTGTTGCTTTTTTTCCTTAAGATTTTCATTGGTCTGTGGGGTACTAAGGATTTCAGTGTGGCTGATTCAGTCTTCAAGTCGTGTAAAATTAGGTACATGTATGTACTAAAGGTCTTTCAGTATGCAAGAGGAAACAGTGGGTATTTTGTCACTAGTATCTTTCAATAATCTAATTGCTGCTGCAACAGATATTAATGAGTAGAGAATTTACTGCCCCAACACAAAATGTGTTTCTATTGTATTTTTCCCAGTATTTCACTGAATATGTCCTGAATTCCATGAGAAAGTGATAATTCCTTGCTTGTTTTGTACTCTCTTATGGAAGTACTTGTCTGTAGGAATAATGTGTACTCTTTGCCTTCAGTGCTTCAGTTTGTGCCTCGGAGCGTGGATGTTGGGTTCTGCAACTTTAGCCGGCGCATTGAGAAAGGGCTGACAACAGCATTCAGGGAGGTGACCAAACACCAGGAATTCTACAACTTCACTGTGCAAGTAAGATCATCAGCATGTTTTGTATCTGTCCTGTGTTTCATCCAGCCAGTAAAATAAGTTAGGTGTTCACTGGCTACCGCTCGCTGTCTAGATCATGTAGAACTAGAAGACTTTGTTATGAAGTCAGGATTTTTTTCCTCCTACAAAATAATATGGCACCACATATCCCTCTGTTTCAAGCTTTTTGAAAAAAATGATCCAAGATGATGATTTATATCCAAAAGCATTATTGAATATAATATGGTTTACACTTTTTCATATAAAGGCTGCTGCAACCCTTATCGAAGTCACTCCCATCAGATTTTACTATTACAGAGTAGGACGTGGTTAGAATGTTTTTGTAGGAATACAACTTTTGGATCTCACTGCTGCTCAGGGGATCCTATTAGGGAGTATAGGAGTTAGATGCACTCTGCTATTATGTGAGCAAACATGCTAGTTGCTTCTGAGGTCTAGAAATACTTACAGCGGTATATGATGTCTGTGGCAGCTGCTACTGGAACTTCACATACGAAATGTGTATGTGCTGGGTACTGAGTCACATAGCAGAGCTTAAAACTCCCTGGGAAGTCAGTAATTCAGCTTAATAAGACCAACTCCCTCTTCTGTCTGAATTCTTAAATTTAATCTAGCTTTGTTGTAATACTAAAATCAGTAAAAATTCTATTGTGTTATTTAACTGGCACCATAAATGCCCGTCTGTGGTACCCTAAAATAAAATCATAGCAAGAAAAAAGACATAAACTTTATAGTACCTGAAGTACTATATAGTACGTATAGTAAAGTGCTCAGAACTGTACGACTGAATGACACAGTGTGACTGGATAGACTGAAGACAGAAGGCGAAGAACAATTTCTTGGACTATCAGCTTCGCAAAATTTTATTTCAAATACTTCCTTACTGTGTAGAAGAGATGTGTCTACGTGAACACAGTTGCTGTGTACATTGGTGACAAAAGAAGGCTTCTTTTTTGGTAGGTAGGGTCTGGGCGTGCATGGTGCAAGAAGTTTTGACCGAGACAACATCCATTTTCAGGATTTTTTAGCATGGTCTCTTCCTGCCTGTTCCACCCAGTTTGATATTCATCTAAAATTTCTTTATCAGCAGATGTATTATACTGACTGTTCTCTAGGTGAGTTTTTTCATCATTTTCTGGACTGTGGCTTTCAGATCATTCTGGATTATGATTGACCTTAAAGGATAACACTTGGAAGAAGAATTCATATGTAACTTTGCCTCTTCTGAGACTCAGCAGGGTGAAACAACCTGGAATAGATGTTCCTGTGTTTTGATGTGAACTGCCCTTGGCCCTCTTCACGTTGGGGGGGGGAGGGGAAAGACTGTCAAGGAAGGAATGGAAATGCTAGTGATTTGATTTTGCTGACTGTGCTTCAATCTTGTCTTTTCAGATACTGAATATAACTCTGAGCAGGTCTGGTGTAGCATTTCGGCAAGGCCCCGTGAGCATTGTTTTTGCTGTCCGAGATAGATATGGCTTTCTAAATGGATCTGAAGTCAGTGAGCAGCTGAGAAACTTGTCTGTGGTGGAATTCAGCTTCTACCTGGGCTATCCTGTGCAGCAAATTGCTGAGCGTGAGTACTTACTCTTTGCCAAGACTGCAAAATAGCTTTTAAAGTATTTTTGCCTCTCTACAATTTTAAAATAATTTTGCACATAAGTGATAATACGGCATCAAGCGCCTGATTTGTATCATGAATTCTGCAGAACAAATACATGCCTCTCTCTGCTCCCATACTACATATCGGTGTTACAGCAACTTGTTGCTTGTGTCATCATCCTTTCCTTTTGCACTGGGCCAGTTGTGTTTAACCTGGCTTCATATTTCCCTGGTCTTAGTCCAGATTGAAGGAAAAAAACCCAAAAAACTTCGATGAATATTGCAGTGAAGTGTGATCCGAGGTGTGCATCTGTGGATGTGTCTACAGGGGCCTTTGCTGCTTCTCGGCAGGGTTGACGACCTTGGGCTTTGTGTTGCACTTAACTGTGCACTTTTTCTAGACCACGGCCATCCTAAACTTAGATTAAAGGGAACTGCCTTTATAGCAGAGTTTGTTTGGCACTCAGCCTTGACAGTTTATGTTTGGTTAGATTTTTCAGATGACCTCAGTCTCATAAATAATCCAAGGGTCTAAACTCAACGCTTATCCTTGTACACTAGTGGATTGTTCATGACAGAAATGTCTCATGAACATAAGCAAAATAATGAGAAAACAGTACTTGCCTTTCCTGATGGCAGGTGTTACTGTAAACCCAGTCCACTAATTCTTGGTTTCTCCTATGTCACTGTGCTTGCCAATGCAGGATTTTAATTATCGGAGTTATTTTTGTGAGGTATATAGGTGCGTAGCACCTGACACAGTGATTCTATACAGTTAAGGACCTAGTGGAAAATCAGCATTAGTGGCAGCTGCTGTTCATTATGCAGCTGTACTGTAGTATGTCAGCAAAGATATTAGAAGAGAGTGTTCATCAACAGAAGTTGTTCTCTGTAGCACCTTTAAATTTATATAAGATGACTGCACAGGATATTTTCCCAGTGACTAGAAGTAGTGTGAATGTACTAGTTTTTTGAAACTTTGTTTTCATTTTTCAGCATTTTGAACCCTCTGCTCCCACAATCAGTTGAAAAATGTAGCAGGTTGTCTCATTTCCTTTGAACTTTTCCGCTGTCAGTCAGTCTCACACAGGTTGCACCTCTGCAGTGGTAGCTGTATTTAATTGAGCCAGGTCCAAAAGCCTTGAGAATCCTTGCCTGTAGATTAATATAATTTCTCTGAATTAAAGTTAAATGTTGCTCTTGCCTTGATTGCTTGAAAGACATTTCTCTTTACTCTGTATTGTCTCTCTTGCACCTTTTCACTAATTACTTTTGATCTTTCGGGTAGTATTTTCAATGTCGTGGGGCTTTTTTTTTTCCTGTGTTGTACACACATCAAGTCAATTTTTAGTTTTATCTACCTATTCTGGACTGATACATGTAGTGAATTTGCAGGTTGCTCCTTGCTGAGAATCCGTCATCTGGATTCTGCGATGGAGCTGCAGTGCAATTAAATTATAACAGAATTTCTAACAAGGCTAGTGTATCCTGAAAGACAGGCTGGTCATAGGGGAAAAACACTCCTATTAATCATGTATGTACACTGCTCTCCTTATTTTCCTTTCCTGATGGTACTTAGGAAATTTGAAGGTAATTTCATTAGTGCTCATAGCAGGAGCTCTCACTGTGTTACCTGCATGCTTATAGTGCCTGGCCAGTGGGGCCAGCTCCCGGCTGATGCTGGTGGAGCTCTGTGATACCTCACATGTTAATGAGAAAGCTGTGCAAAATAGAATGAGTGAAAAGGTCAGGAAGTGCCTTTGGAAAAAGGTCCCATTCGGATTTCTCCTCCTTTCTTGACTACTCTGGGGATTCGCAGTGAAGTAATGTAGATGTTGGCTGTTGTGGCCTGGCAGATTTAGCCTCTGTTAATACAGTGGCATGTCCAAGCCTGAGGGTAGTTATTTCTCTGCCTGTGTTTCTGAAGCTTCAGGTATTGTTTGCTCTTTTCCTGCTGGCAATTTTAAACAAGTACGCCAACAGCGCGGTAACTTCATTCCTGCAAATTCCAGCATAGGCCTCCAGACTTCAAACACAAAATTATTCTTCCTTCCCTCAAATCCACCAAATCTCCCAAACGATACCAAACCTCAAATCCACAAGCAGACCCTTAGTGTAGGAAGGCAGAGTTACTCATCAGTGGTGACTAAGTCCATCATGATACACAGTTTATTCACAGATTCACCTATTTGGAGCTCTTGAAAAATGCTGTTCCTTTGGTGCACATCCCTGTTAGCGGGATGGTAACAGCTGAACAAGCTGTGTATACACCCTTGCCTTCAATGATCCCACCTAATTGCTGCCATAGTTTAATGAATGAATGTTGCCAACAGAGCATAGCACTTGCCTCAGAGATCTTAGCCAGAGTTTGGTGGTGGTGGTGTCTCTTAGTTTGTTTCATAGATTTTGAAGACGACCTTCAGACTTGTCTAGACTGAATTTTCAAAACATTTAATGTTGTATTAAAATAAATAAAATACATGTAGTGAATCAAATTAAATACATCAGATTTCAATTTAGTGATTCAGAATTTTTAGGGATGGTGAGATCTTCCCGAAGTTTAAGATATAGAAAACATGAGGATTTGATGGATATAGTGCCCTGAATCAAGGAGCATCTTGTCAGCCGTTTGGCTTGCTTCTTGCTAGAGGAACTCAAATTTACTGTAGATTGAGCCCACTGCAGGACAGCTCATTTTGATTTGAACTTGACTAGTTTGGTCTCAATAGCTTTGGTGCATTTGTTGTCACTGTTTTGGAATACCAGACATGGTACTATTTGATAAGTCAGCAATGTGGGAACACAGTTTCTCAGCTTGTTAGAGCTATGAATCTGTCAACAAGCACAACAATCAATGTACCTTATACACTTGTATAAGTGAAGCAACCACACTTGGTTATTTTTAGCTGTTTCTACAGTTTTTTTGCACTGTTGCTGTGACTGTATTTTGAGCCAAAGGATTTTAGATCTTCAGTATTCAGAGCCAGAAATCACGTCCAAAGGCTCAGCAGCATTCGGCAGATCCTTCTTGAGACATCTTATTCAGCAGTCTGTTGAGGATGACCAACAGCCAGATCCTCAAAGCTACTTTGGCAGGAAGATGCCTAAATGTTTTTGTTTTCTAGGTCCTGAACTCTGCATTTGTGCTCTCCCTTGGACTACAGAGCAGTAGTAGCATTGAAGGTGCTGTGAAGATCTGTCTTAGATGCTCTGTGCAAATTAATATGCAACCCTCTGCTTTTCAGTGTGAATTTTTGGGGGAACTTTTGGATGTTTACATACACAATATTTACATTAAATTTACATACACAATTACAATTTATGTATGTTATTGTTTATATGTAAATTTCTTATATGTAAATATGAAGTGTTCTATGCTATTTGTGCCTTAGTTATCAGGCATGCTAACAGTTAATCTGCTTGGTGATGACTTTTTCTTTTTTCCCTTGAGAGCTCTGAATATGATTTTGTAAGTTTTATAGCCTGCAGCTGAAGAAAAAGAAATTATTTGTAGGTGAGCTGAGCTGTCAGGGTGTTGAAGTTGGTTCATACTAAGGAAAAGCTACTTGCGTACTGTCATTGTATAGCAACACTTAAGTGAAGTGAGACCTTGCCGTTGATATCCCAAATATAAACCTTGTTTGAAGGAACGTATTTGTTCCTCGCTGCTTGTTCACTTCACATTGCATTTCACACACAGTCCTTTCACTGTTTTTTTTTCCGCACAACTAAGATGTACTGTTTATACTTTTAACTGTGTGGGTTGTCCCTGTGCAGTACATAATTAACAACAGGATTTTTTTGTCAGCTTTTTTCCATTCATTTAGAGTCAGGGTCAGTAGTGAAAGTTGTTGGCTTGACAGAATGGACTGTTCTGTGCAGGAATAGGGCTGTTGGAGTGTCCAAGCCTGGAAACTTCCAGACTTTTTCCTTTGCCTCACAGATTTCTAGGTGACTTCAGCAACATGCTTGTATTCAAATGTTCAGTTTACGCCTTCCTGCATGCTTGGTTTGCATTGTCCACCTTACATCTCACATTTTACATTGTAAACTGGTTAGATGGTCATGAACTGCATGTCAACAGAAAGAAAACCATGTCTAGTCATGGCTTCTCGGTGCTAGTTCATTAAAAACAACAGGAAATAATATATTTGATATCTTCTTACGGCTGGAAGATTTCTCTGAGGTCAGGCAAAGGCTAGCTGTGGACTAGATGAGGAATATTGGCTTTCATGAACTTAGCACAAATAAATCTCTTTGTTTTTATTATGACTTTAAATAGAGAAGATTGCCTTGGGACTTGCTATTTTTTCACTGCCGTAAGTAGCACTTTGATGGGTGGCATCTATTTTAGATGTTGCAAGGCCAATAGGATAATATAAAATTGTATGATACAGTCCAGAGACTGCAGAAATATTTGGCAATTTTTTTCTGGGTGCATTTTGGATCAGACTTCTAACAGATACGGTGTTTTACTATTGCTCACACAGCAGTATTTGCATGGAATCTTATTTTTCAGTTGATGCCTTCTCATTCCAAATACTGCATTCCCTCCATGCTTTCTATTACTGTTTGTCCATTTATCAGAAATAAGAATGATCAGTATGGTGCTCGTTCTATCCTGCATGGTCCAACACGTCTCTGTATGAGAGGGTCAGGGAAATCCTTGTTGGAGGATCTGGTGAAGGCCATGTTGCCCAAGTGCTGTGCTTCAGACTGTTGTCAAGAGGTTTCTGGGTGACTAGGTGACCCTTTGCCTTTTCAGTGAGCATCGAATCGACGCTGTTACGCAGTATAATGCTTCAGGGCTGCGTGTTGAAATCTTCTAACGATGCTAGCATCTACTTCATTAATGCATCTATATTCATCAGCAGACCATCTGCAATCTAACTAATAATTGCGTTTTGTCTATCCAGCTTCCCTCTCAGAATAACAATCAATCTGTGCTGGGTTTAATCATTAATTCCATAGGGCACTGGGAATCTTGCAAATACGATCTTGCTGCAGTGCTGAGACTCCAGCTGAGCTCAGGATCTGGCCACGTGTTTTGTTGGTGAGACACCTGAGTGACCTATAGAATGAGTCGGAGCCTGGATTTTCTGACTTCAGAGCATGGTCTCAGTTGCAGAAGCATCCATCATTTCACGGCTTCTTCATCAGGTTTTAGAACCCAGCCTTAGTTGCCAGTGATCACAGCACATCCTCCTTTTCCATTTCCAGATTTTCTGCTCAAGTTGTTTTATTTTTAAATTTCATTAATTCCGTGAAAAGTTTAAGTGAATAGTCATCCAGCAATTTGCATGAATTAAATCATTTTCAAGTACTAATTAGAAAAAGTGTGAAGAGCACATTAAGTATTGAGGCAAAACATGATTTTGGTTTAAAAGAAGAAAAAACTCACAACTGCTAGCAGTTCAAAGCTTTATGGCCATTGGAAGGTTTTTCATTTTCTTATCTTGCTCTTTCCATGCTTTGGAAAAACAACAGATGCAGTTTAGTTTATGCTTTTTTGTTCAAGTTGTATTTCTAAATTGAAGTAAACAGTTGCATGACCAGAGTAAATAGAACTCCAATCTAAAAGTTGCAATCAGAAGGATCCTGTAGCAGGGTGCCAAAAAAAAAAGTGTGTATGTTTAACTGGACTGTGAGGTGCTTTTTCTGTGTCTGAGAGTTTTGGAAATTTGATGCATCCTGGTCAATGTATAGGGGGCTGATTTCCTGTTCAGAATAAAGGACCATATTCTGATACCCTTCGGACTGGTAAGTCACAAAGTACCTCCCAGGTGGTTCTCTTGAAGTGAGTGGTGCTATTATTGAAATAAAGGTGGAATAGCCACATTTTATTTTATTTTTTTCCATAGGACTACTTATAAATCCATGAAAATAAAAGCTACAATGTAACTAGTGATTCTTTTTCTCTTGCCTTAGTTAAAGAAATGTAAGTTTTTTGAGGGGCAAAAGAATCAGCTTTTAGGTACAACAACAGAGGTCAGCTCTTCTGCAAATTCTTGCGTAATTAAATTAGAAAAATGTCAATTTTCTATTTCTCTGAAACATGCGATAGTGGCAAACTATTCTACAACTGAAGACAAGATATCTTTACTCTAAATTGATCTAGCGTGGACCAGGTCATTTAGTTGTTATGTGCCCCATTCTTTCTATCCATGAAATGGTTTAAAAATTAACCTTTGTATGATGCTTTGCAAACTACATCTGGATTAAATATTTTTAGAAAGTTAAGACCGTTCCTTATTGCAATAGTGAAGCTTAAGACTTCCCTTGAGGAAACTGTTGGCCCAGCCCCCATCTTCACTTGTTTCCCAACATGTCTTTACTGCTCTCCAGTGGAAACCTTGGGAAAAATCTTATCCCTACTGAAGTCAGTAGAAATAGACATTATTTACTTCACTGGGGCAAGGATTTCACTCTGGAGCAGAGCTTTTTTGGAAAAACTGAGAAATTAAGAAATCTTGGAGCCACAAAACCAAACACAAAAGCCATGAGATTTGTCTACAGCAATGTTTCTGCATACAGTTATTTTTTGTTTTTGTTAAAAAAATGTTATCAAGATGGTGTTTTTCAAATGCTTTCTTCCCCCAGCACAAGCCTGGAACACAAATCAGATGCATTTAGTTTTCTGTTTACATTTAGTGTTCCTATGTAGTTTCTGCCTCAGAGAAGGTCTTATTTTCATCCTGAGACACTCATGAGTTGCCTCGTTGCCCTTTGAGCAAAAGTCTGATCTTGCAGCTAGCTCAGTAGGAGTCACAATTCAGACATTGAGCTTTTAAATTTCTAGGAGCAATGACCTCGGTACAGCAGCTTGAAATCTTTCAGGTAATAAATCTGACTGCTTCAGTTCACTGCTTTTTGTTCAGAGACGAACTGGGGAGTGTATGTTCGGACCACTTTCCTCACTGTTGTGTCTGCGTAGCCTCAGGAGTAGTAATACATCTGTGTAAATAATATGCTTACTGACAGTATAAATTATGAAGTGGCTTCTTTTTTTTGTGTATGTTGTTGAGGATACTGTTCTTACGGATGTTTTTCCTCCATTCTGTTTTTCCCTCAGCCTTTCATTATCCTAAGCTTAATGTGTCTCAGTTGATGAAATCTTCCTGGGTGAGAACAGGTACGTACAGTCTCTGTGAGTAAGTAAGAGTGCAATTATGTTTGTTAGCAGGATAACTAGCCTACATAAATATCGATAGCTTAGGGGTGCTGCATTTTTATGAGGTAGTAATGTGCCTGAGCTGAATAAATCCTAAAACCAAAGGCCTAGTGAGCTGGAATAGCTGGGAAATGTAATTCCTGGGTCTAGAATGAACTACTGCAATTCCTTGATAATGCACACAAAGTCGTTTTTGTCTATAAGCAGTTCATTCTTAGTGAGACAACTTACACTGTCAGGCATAAAGTGTCTACTCTGCACACTGTCAATATACCACATTGATTTTTAGATTTTTATTTTATTTTCAGTGAAAATTAAAATTTTATGTGGCACTTTCTACCGAAACATGCCAGGAATAAACCAGAGTGAAAATAGATACATTCCAAATACATGAAAGAGTTTCATCACATTTCATTGATCTCTTCTGATTTGTTCACAGCAGATCCCTCCCACCCAAGTCTCCTGGATGTTTTATTCTATAATGCACAGATATGGTTGAGCTGTCGCGTTTAGATGCTCAGAGGATGTTGAGGTTGCCTGCACGCTGTAGGTTCTACCTGCTTCTTTTAAGCAGACGGGCTGAATGGTGACCAGGCTGTGCCTGCCAAACTTGCTGTTAGGGTGCAGATGCCCCACTGGATACACTTTTGTCCTCCCACGACTTTACCACCTGTAGTTCACCAGTTGTATAGCCTTACTCTTTTTTCAGGTATCTGTGTCTCCTCTCACCAGTGACCCAGTTTACTTTTTAAGCAGGAAACCCGGTTGCGGCTTGATTTCTGAAGCCCCCCCAAGTTTGCTTTAGAGAAGAAAAATGAAGAATTTCAGATCGTGTTCAGTAGCGTGAGAGAAGCTACGTGTGTGCATCACACATCTGATGTCATCCTTCCTTAGAGATTTGTATTGGCTTATCTTTGTCACACTCCTACCCTCTCTTGCTCAGCCTTAGGTTTGCTTTGTTTGTGGTTGCTGGAAGTTCCCTTAGATCCTGCGGTAAGAAGCGGGTTCTTTCAGCTCAGAAATCATGTCCCTTTGGGGTTTTGTAAACTTCCTGACTGTAAGCCAATTGCAGCGCCTTTTTTTGCTGCAGAGGAATTTTTTGTAATCCCAGTTCTTGAGGGCAGCCTGGGAAGAGCTAGTAGACTTTGGCTGGATCAGTCCTTCCAGTCTGTATATTGTATTGTAAGGGTAATGAATCATGACATGGGAAAATGATAGAATTTATGCACATTAATGTTTTTAATATTGTGTATATTTGATATATGTGCATGTATCCCAATAGTCATAAAACATTGGGATATGCAGTGTTCTCTGTAGCTGTCCCTCTCAGTTGTAGAATACAGTCTATGCTATTAAGCGTAATTAATTGATACTGAAATTCAATACACAGGCAAGAAACAGTCTTCTACTTGCTGGATATAATAGCCTTAGGCCACTGTCTATTTATTTTGCTATTTAATTCTGAGATACTTAGTGTATGACTGAATATAGAAGACAGATGCTGTTGATCTCTGTGAGAAATCACAAAAAAGTTTCCTTTTACTGACATCTGCAGTGAAGATTTTAAAATTGAAATAGTGGGTTTAATATTTTTGTTTTAAAAATAAAAAAATTTAAATCTGTATTTAATTGATTTTATCTAATTGGATGGCTTTTTATTAAACGCCGCACTTAAAAAACTAAACATGAAAACATTTACTGAAAAAGGGACTTTTAAAAAATATAAAGCATATTCGTGGAGTGGCGCAGGAATGAAAACTGATTTTACTGCAGTCAGCAATGAGTTGGTTTACTATCCTTTAGGGTTGTTTCATTAGGTCATTTGAATGATTGTCACTCCATTCACCCCACTTTTCTTTTACTGGATGCCATCATGTTAGTAAAGGTCCACACTTTCCCATGAGTTGTTCCTCAGGGATTCCTCTCAGCATTAGCTGCCTCAGTGACCCAGAGTACCTGGGGTTGGGAAGTGAAGTGGGCAGGGCTACTAACCAGATGTTTTGTTCTATGATGGGCATACTTGTTAATCTTTATCTTATCTAGGGAAGATGCACTTGGAATACCCAGCTTCATGTGCTCCTGTTCTCCTACTTTTTCTCCTTGATTCTGAACCCTTGCCCTGCCCATCTCTACTTCTGTATCACTTCCAAACACAACATTTGACTGAAAGTAGTTGCAGCAGACAATTTAGACTGAGTTTTCTTTTGTATTTATTTTTAAACAATTCACTGAATGCTCATAAGTTTATGTTTTTTTAGAATTGAAACTGTTTTTTCAGTGTCCTGCGTCTGTCTGGCCTGGCTGAGATTACAAAAAATGCCCTCTGCCCTAATTTTTATTTATTTATTTATTTTAACTTTTTCCCACCCGGTGTTTTCCTTTCCAACATGTAACCTCCAGCTGAACTGGGTGGTATTCCCATATGAATACAGCCACTCTTGAATTGTCCAGGAGCTGTCACAGGGTGACTCAAAGCTTGTAATTGAAGTTGCAGAAAAGGCACTGAAAAGTTTTACTAATTTGTTTGTGTTCTTGGGTTACTTTCTCTGCAATGTAGTTCTCTTGGGTGTCGTCGACCAGCGAATTCAGGAGGAAGTGTTTCAGGCTGAGATGGAACGGAAACTAGCTCACCTGTTAAACGAGGCTTTGGTCAGAGGGCGGATATGGAGACGAGCCAGTTTTGCAGGCAGCAACATTGTGCAGGTATTAAGAGCTCAAAGTCAGAGGAAGAAATGAAGGGTAATAAGTTATTAAGTTAATATTGTCTAAGTTTTGAGTTAAGATAACTCAAAAGCACATACCACGTTTAGCTAGTTGATGATGCTTTTGTTTTGCACCTAAAATATGATTCTTTAGATACCTTGTTGTCTTTTAAGCTAAATGTAACAAATGGGAACAACTGAGTATTTTAGGTGGCTACTAGAAAATTCTGACAACTTCTTAAAAACAATATTGAAAATTATGTTACCAACATCCTATTTTTAAAGCTTGCTATCTTGTTTGACTTACATGAGGTGCCTAGCAAAAGGAGACAGGATGGTCATCTGAGTCAAAAAAGTACTCTGCTGGAACAGTTATTTCACAGCTCTCTGTGGTGTTTTGGTGGTGGTGTAGAAAGATGAAATAGAATCATGTGCAGCCTGATGGCAGCAGCAGAGTAGTATGTTCTACCCCTTAACTGCCTATTTGTCACAGTACTCATGATCACAGGAATGGATTTCAAGTAAGAATGATTAATCATGTCAGATTTTGCACACATGCTAGCTTCTGCTATCTGGATTCCAGTGCTGCTTTATAGTTTTGTCACGGGTGGAATTAGTCACGTAATGTCCAGGAAGGCTTGGATATTTAATTGTAAGTTTTAAGTTCTTGCATGTGTTCCTCCTGGTCAGTTCAACAAACTGAAAGCCAAAATACTTTTTGAAGGCTCTTCTTCTTAAAAATTACTTTTTCCAGCTAATTAATCGACAGTTGGTTTACCTCACAGATGCCCTTCTAGTAGTTCAGACCTATTATCTTTATTTAATTTAATCCCTACAGTGTTTGCTACCACCTAAATTTCCAGATGTTGGGATTTTCTTCGTTTTGTTTTCCTGTCCCAGAAACATCTGTTTCAGTAATAGAGATTTTATTTTATTTTTATTTTGTGCAGCTTTGAATTGCTGTAAATAGATGTCTGCTTCAGATCATCTATTCCCAACACCTCTTACTGCACTTTGTTCTTTATGCCTCAGTCAGCCCCTTGCATATAAATTGAACAAATATTCCTAGTTTTGCTAGCAAAGATACCACAGCCTATAAAATGTGTATATGTAGATTACAGTTTTATGGTTTTACATAATAAAGCTCGTGTAATTTATTTTTGCACATACAAAACTACAAGCAGGTCCTTTCTAGCTAAAGAATAGTACTTTGGAAAGTGAAAATACAGCGTTTTTCTTATGACTTTGTATTACTTACTGGGACATAAGATGAAGTCTTCAGTTCATGTTCCAAACAGCAGTGCTTCTCATTTATGCCACTTAGTTAGTGCAAAGAGTCTGCAAACTGCTGTCTTTGGGCAGTGGAGGATTCTCTTAGTTATGGTGACACATCGTACCACCCCACATAACGCAGGGCTTCTCCAGGTGCTCACAGCCCATGCTGTTACATAGGGTTAGCAGCGTAACAAAGGAGATGTGGAAGAAGGAAGGCTGAAGGAAATACCTTGCTGCTAGGTGTCCGAAATAGGTGTCCTGCTTTCCTGCATGAGAATGGTAGGTACCATAAGGTACTATAGCTTCTTGGTAGCATGCTTTGGCAGGATGTTCAGGTGTGTGGTAGGTGAGACAGCCTTAGAGGCTATTGCGTGTAGCTGGAGTGGTGCACCTGGTAGTTGGCTCCTGAGTGGAGGGTGATTTCTTTCAAGGATGCTCCAATGTCAGTTGAGGATCTGGTCCACAGTTATGTGCAATAAACCTTTTAGTTCTACTGCTGCTAATTCTATTCCTCATAGCCAAGTTTATATCTGTGTTTTGAAATATGTTGTATATATGCATCTATTTGTGGCTTTAGGGAGGGCTATTAATGTTCTTTGTGCTTTATATTCAGATTTTCCTATATGTATTTCTTGCACACAAACCAGTGACTGCTCTTGACAGTAGGCCACAATGAAGTGAAAATAAGAACAAAAGCTGCCAGCAAGGCCAAAGTGTTGGATACTCATTATTAGCAGGACGTGCATGTATCCACTGAAGACTAGACACACATTTCACTTGTGTTGAGCCCTGTAGACCGGAATTTTTCCTGAGGTGAAAGATATTTATAGTGTATTGAACTGTGACATTTCTAAGCTCTGTGGAAAATCAGGACTGTGGGTCAGAAGGTGAAGCAATTATTTGTGAATGTTACTGCAGGCGTATTGGTTTCCTTTCACATACTAAGAAAATAGAAGTGATACCTTGTAAGGTTTAGATTTCATTTCTAAAGGCATGTGTTAGGATCTAAGAATGTTAAAAATTACTCTTTAAATCTAGAATAAGGTCTTTGGACTACCTGAGGTGCCCAGATAGCATGCTTTCCTCTCCTGTTTGGCTATCTGTGTTGTTAACAGGAGGCACTCTGTGATGAAAAAAAAAATTAAAAAGCCTATAACCATTATGTACAAAAACCCCCTCATACCTGACCGTTACGCATGAGATAGTTGTGTTGATTTTTGTGTGATGCTCAGTGTTTCACGGAGCAAGTGATGTATATTTTTAACATGTGTGTGCTGTTGCTTCAAATTTGAAGGCACATGTTTAACGTGGTTTGCATTGCATCTGCAGAGGCTAGGCCCTATGCTATATTTTGTCAATAGTTTACCGTAGTAACTCAATTCTCATTGATTTTTTTGAGGAATTAAACGGCTTAATTGTAGTTTAAAAATGCAGCAGGAACTACTACAAAAATAATTAATTTTCCCTCATTTCAGCGTGTTTGGTGTTTTGAACCTAATAGTGAAAAGGGTGATCCTACTGAGTGACAAGAAGCACGATGTTCTGATTTAAGGAGAATGTTAGGCAACACTATAGCGGTAACGTGTGAGAGGAATTGGTAGCTCTGCGGGGACATAGTGACTGAGTTGAGCTTTTTATTAAGGCAGAGGTTCATTCTCTTAGTTTTCTGCTGACAGCTTGTGTGTCTCTCCCAAGTGTGTAATGTGAGGAAAGGCCCAGTCGTGCTACCTCTGTGTCGGCCAAGCCTCAGCAGAGGCACTTTCCTTAGCCTTCCTTCAGCGCCCTGGCCCTCTCCGTTCACTTACCGGTCTCCCCAGCTCGGCACGGGGGGCCCCGCTGCAGCGGGTAAGTGTTTGGTGCTGTGACAGCCAGCGCCGCCCTGTCCAGCCCCAGCCGGGGCGCTCCAGGAGGAAGCTGGCTGCCACGAGCGGCACCGCCGTTTCCTGGCCTGACAGGTTCCTGTGAGGGATTTCTCAGGTCCGGGTTACCCGTTTCACATATGCTTTGTGTTGCCTTGTCTGCGGAACCGTTCAGACCACAGTACAGCATGATTTAATTGCCTGGACACTAAAATCCTACTTTTAATAAGGCAGAAAGCAGAATCCCTTTTGATTATTTTTTCCCTAGGGGATGAACGAGCGAAAAAAGGAAAATAATCCTCATAACGTGCACTTCATGTTTACTTGTTTCTAAGTAATGCTTATGCCTTCAAAACCCTGACCCAGTTCACCCAGATATTCCTTGCTCCTTACGGGGTTGCTGACTGGGACGTCCCACTGGCTGACTGACACTCTGCAAATGCCTTGTGAGCTTGCCCACCACTTGGATTTCCCCGCTTTAAATTACGAACAAGATTTGGTTACCAAGGCAACTCTGTTCACTGACCTATGATATTCTCTTGAAAACACTTTTTAAATTAAATTTACTCACACCTGAACGCAGCTAAGCCTTTACTCTGTGGAGGCTAAATGCACATCTAGTATCAACAAACATGGTATCTTTTATGTACACAGAGGTTGAATTAGTCTTTTCTTCCTTTTTTTAATTTTCTGCCTCCTATGTATTGAAATTCTTTTATTTCCCCCCTTCCTATGTCATCCCTCACTGCCAAAAGTATAAATGTAACATGCTTAAATGCTTTCTTACACATGGGCTGCTTTGATGGATGACTGGAAAATACCATTTCTGCCTCTGCTTGCATTCTTAGCACTCTCAAGGATAGACACACCTCTGTGAAATACGAGACAAAACCAATCTGAAGCTTCACAGAGAGTATAATTTGGAGCAAAATGACACCCAAACTTAGTATACAGAAACTGTGTAAAAACTGGGCACAGGGACTGTGTACCTCAATTTTAAAAACACACTTAAGACCAGTTCAGATCCAGTGTGCCATTTTCTGTGTTGTAGCAAACTCAGAGGTTAGTTTAAAAAAAAGGTTTTTTAGTGAATCAGTGTGACAGAGAGGAAAACTGAAGTGGCGATATTGTCACAGTTGCTGAGTTTATGTACAAGTCTAGTTGTCTCATAGACATCAGCTTTCCCAGAATAGAAACCTATAACCATCTCCCATTGGATTTGAAATTTTGTCTGCAGCTTCCCTCAGTATGGTGTGAGCAGTCACAGAATACTGTGTATTCAGAGCAAGTTATTTCAGATAAAACTTACCTTAAAATAATGAGCTTATTTCATCAACACCAGCCTGCACCTCCACCCTCCATTGAATTTCTTCATGCTCGTTCGCATGTTCTCTATACTATACCAAAATACCTCCAGCTGCTTCTTCCTATCTCTGCTCTGGTTCCAGCCATCCCTGTTCCTCAGCATAGGGAGACATAAGCTGTTGGTTTTAATATTGTGTTAAAAATTGTATTGTTTCAATTGTGGCAACTTGCACTGGAATCTGTCCTTCTACCCTTTCTAAAGGCAGCTGTGGAGAAGTTCCTTTTTTAACCCATTCAGCCAGCTTCTGACTGTTACTCTGTGTATATAACACACACGTAATTATAGAACTTCTTGGATACTCCACAATGCCATGAAAGGTATGAAAATTCAATTTAAGAATCTCCTACATTTCTCTGATTCTGTAGCTTTGCTATACACAGAGAGGTTTCATAAAATTAAATGAAGAACCCATTGACTTGCAGTCCCATGTGGCCTTTCAACTCCCTTGCTCTCCATGTGAGTTAAGTGCTACTTAAGAAGGGTTCATCTATGCTGAAAGCAGATACCAGTCCATACACCCTGCTTCTCTGTGCACTGAGGCCAGGCTGTGGTGAAGGCAGCCCAGCTGAAGCAGAAATACGAAGCTGTGGACATTTGTGAACTAATGATATATCTGGTTTCCGTGAAACCAGATTTAGCTTTACAGCTGCTGAGTATGTGCATTGAAACCTTATTTATTGATACTGTTTTTTTACTTTTAGTCAGGGATTGGATGCCCCTTAGCTGGTAGAAGAGGGAGTAGCATTCAGGATGAGAAGCAGCATTGGTTAATGGGTCCTGTTATCAGGTCTTGCTGTGTTACAGAAGTTTGCACATTTTTTTCTGCTCTATTTGTAGGTATCCTGTTTCTTACATCAAATGTGACTGACACTGAACATTATTCTTTGCTTTTCTTTTAGCTGATTTGACCTAGAAGAGTTTCATGACAATAGTGCTTTTTCTTTTTTTTTTTTTCTTTTTCTTTTTAGTTTTTATTATATACCTTGCTGTTACCACTCCTGGAAAATGTTTTTTTAGGACATATTGAGTTGGTGTCCCCGAAGACCAGGACATCATCCCTCTTGACCTAGAACATTGCACCGCTTTACTGCAACCTGATTGTTTGTTGGAAACTAGGAAGGAAAACAATATAAAGCTTTGCTATTGTAAGCCTCAGACATGCAAACATTTGTGTGTTTGCTTCACTTTAAGCCTGTGGGCAGTGTTTGAGATTCTAATTTATTAAATATGTACTTCATAGTAAAGGATAATTCTGAAGGAAGCAAAATATATTGCTCTACTTGTGGCAATTCCTTCCAGAGCTCTTCAAACTCTGTTTTACGTGATAGAATACCATCTACTATTTGTTTGGCCTAATTCTAGGTTGAGCTCACCATTGCATGTAAATAGTTAAACAGAGGAGAGTTATTATATATAAGATTTAATTTTACAGGAATTCAAAATTGTTACGTGATTCTCATATGCAATGTAGATGTTTGGTGGTTAGAGAGTATCTCCAGGGCTTCCTCATAGCATGCATTCTTTTGATTATTAACATCTTTAGAAGTAGGTAGGAAGAATTGCTTCCCACAGTGTCAAATACATTCCTCCCTGAAGAAAGGTGGATGCCAGGGTTTGGAGCTGTTTGGAGGGTGAAGGTGACCATGCGGGTGCTTTCCTTCAGGAAGCGCAAACAGTCCTATTTGAATATAACAGGATATTTGCCTGTGTAGCTGCTTAACATTCGGAAAAACTGGAACAAAAAGGTGTGTGTTACGAATAACAAAGTAAAACTAGGTATTTAGAGAAGGGAAAAAAGCATTTACATTAATCTCTTCAGTAGCTCCTACTAACAAGTGCTAAATTGCGGTAGAGGCTTCCAGTGTGACATGGTGTCGGCAGCTTTAGAGTGAAAGCAGGTCTCTTACTTCAATATTGGATCTGTACGTTGTTGTGAAACAAATAGGAAAAAAAGTGGAAACTTCAGGCTTGCCATAAAATTTTATTATACAAGGGATTGCTTCCATGGAAATTTTTGTTTCAGTTACAAAATAGATACTTCTGTAAATTTTCCAGGTCCTGGAGCAGTTGAGTTGTGCTTGTGTAATTAGACACCGATATATTATTCCAGCAATGTTGTCTTCCTCTGGAAGGCTTCTGCTCAGAATCTTTTGTATAAGTATTAGGTGAAAATATCCTGAATTTTAGTTCGGAAGCAAATTATTATTACTGACTATTAGCTCTGTGTATCTACACTTGCTCATCATTGACTTAAGCTCTTCTCAGATGAGAGAATTAGCCTGTGTGTATGTTGCCTTTGCTGCATACAGTGTTTTGGAGTGCTTCACACAGCACGTCTTCCCGTCAGACTTCTCTGGATATTGACAATTTCCAAACTGTACCAGTTCACAGTAGTTAGATGGTTAGCGTAATTTGGTGTCACAGATAGAGGGGTTTTCCTTAACAGCAGTTGTGTTTCTACATCATAGTACAAGGTGGAATGTTTTTTTTATGCACTAGGGTTGCACACCGTGACAATTAAGACAGCTTCTGATGCCATCTTGACAAAGCTGTTCCAAATGTTTCTTTTTAGACAAGTGGCCTTAAGATCTAGGCCCTGTGAAGGGAAGGGGAAGAGAGGGTAAGGACTGAAAGACCAAATGTATGGGAGCCCCAAATAAATACAACTTGAAATGTAAAAGCCTTCCAATTTCTTTTCAGATTGTGAACGTATCACGGTTAGTTGGTGTTGATAACCCTGTGGAGCTGATCTATTTTGTGGAGGACCAAGATGGAGAGAGACTTAGTGCTCTGAAGTGCTCAGACTTGATGAACAGAGTTGATATCCAGCGGGCTGCAATCATCCTTGGATACCGCATTGAAGGCACCGTTGCACAGCGTAAGCCCTGTCAAATCCACACTGATGCCAGCAAAGAGAAACAGGAAGGGTGACATTAGCTTTGGAGATTATGACACTAGACAGTGCGCACTGTGGCAGTGTTTTGTTCTTGGGACGCTCCTGAGGAAATAAAATTTTAGCAGTGTTGCGGTGAGCTATGTGGTGTGGCTTTGCTTCTTGAAGACTCTGCTGGCCTTGGAGTTGCAACAGGGTCCTTGAGTGTAAGCCTTACTGCATTCACTTTAGTGCTTGTGCTAGAAAAATACTGTGCTAACTAGGTACTTTCTTGCCATTTTCATCTCTTTCTGCTTGTCCAATATTTCTCTGCAGCTTATCTTGCCCAGGAGCTTGCACAAGCCCCACGATTGTGGGATGGGAGGGTGTCGGTGTGAAATGAGTGTTTCCTTTAGCTGAGTAACAGCAGTGAAGTTTAACACGAGTCGCTATTTTTTGTTTGTCTGAATTACTGTTTCTGTGAGGGAAAGATGTAGGCAAATGCTAGTTGGGGCATTTTGAAGGGTATAAGCAAAAAGAAACAGTTTTTCGTCATTGAATATGATTGACCTTATTTTATTGTTTGTCCATCAGTAATATATAAGTAATGTCAACTTTTAATAAAGAGAATATAAAAGTGATGTTATCTTTACTAGATAGATATCAGAATAAATATGACAGGTCATATAAATGCTTTATTCAGGAAGTTTGATATATAAATAATTTGCAGTAAGGAGTGAGGCAGAAGACCTACTCAGAATTCCATGTTATGATTAGGAAAGAAACTTGAAAGTATTTAAAACAGTAACAGACATGTATATCAGCTGCAATATACATCATTGGTATGAATGCTTAATTACCTTTTCTGTTTTCTGTGCAATATGGAGGCATGAATTACATTGTACCACAGGGTATTTTGCCAATAGAAGAAGCATGTGTCTGATTTTCAAAATTCTCTGCAGAAAGAAAAGAAAGAAAATAGTAATAATTGCGCCATCTGGATGTGTTCCTAAATTTTATCCCTCATTGAAACAGTGGTTTCAAGATAGGTCAGTAGCTCGTATACATCTGCTTAATATCTGTTAAGGGACTGTAATATTGGTTAGATAGAAATGCAAAAAGTTGCAAGAATAAATTCCCTTTACAAAAATGGTGAGTGTTGAACAAACTTCATGAAGTGTTTATAGCTTATGCTGCGTGTTGAAACTTGTTATCTTTGACGCGTCATTAGAAAGTTCTTTTAAGAGCCATAGAATCATAGAAATTTTAAAAATGTTTCTTCTTGTTGGAAGAAACTAGACCCAAAAAAGGTTATTTTTATAACAGAAAATGTAACATAAATGAGCTGTCAGATGTATAAAATCTAAGAATTATAATATGTTCCTTTAATCTCTAAGTTCATCATTGGAATGAATATTAAGAAAATTATATATAAAAATAAGATTGCAAAGAAATAGTCTTTTTAACTTGAAAACATCATTTTAAGAAAGTGCATCAGTTTGACAAAAAAAAATGTGTTACTGCTGTGGTTTTTAGTCCCACATATAACCACTATGCAAAACAGAGCAATTGAAAGTTTTCACGAGTCTTCCAGTTCACTTTTTACAAGCGTGACTGGTTTGATTACAACTCCCAGTACGTCTGTCTTCTGCTTGGGGCTAAAGGATCCCAGTGAAACAGTGAAAGGAAAAAAAGTAATAAAAACCACAGAATTATATGCCTTGGGGTGTGAGGAGGGTCCTACTGATTTCAAACTGATTATGATTATTGATGGGGAAGGTAACAAAATATATAATGTATATTTAAAGAGAAGAGGCAGCTGATCATACTGCTTAAAGCAGAAAACAGGCAGTAATGTTGGAAAGTCCTTCTTACCTTTGTTAGTAGCAAGTCATTTTTCTGGACCCGTTTCACTATGTCAGTTCAGTTTTGGGTTACAGAATGATGTGGCAGAAGTGTATTTTCATTAGTATTTTAAGCACAGGTCTTCAGGAGGTAGGCCGGGACAATCAATCAGCTGCCCCATGCTTCCTGAGCATGACGTACGCTGACTTTCAAGTGGTATGACGTTTCCTGTGATGCGCAGCTGGTTTCTGATAAATTCCTTAACTAGCATTTACAAGAACGTAAAAATTCGTAACCTCGAAGTGTCCTCTGTTTAAAATATGTAACCACATAATATTGCTGTCTTCCTTTTAACTTCACAGCTGTGGAGAAGCAGAAGGAGTCCACCTCGGAGTCACAGAATAGCAACCTATGGATTATTGTTGGTGTGGCAGTCCCAGTTGCTGTGGTGCTTCTGATCGTTATTATTTTATACTGGAAACTTTGTCGAACAGACAAACTGGAGTTTCAGCCAGACACGATGAGCAACATTCAGCAGCGGCAGAAGGTAAGAGGGGACGCTGTGATGAGAGGAGCTGGAGTATTCTGAGCATACATGAATGTGAGAGTCTGGGGAACACCTAGCATCCTTAAATAGCATGTGGAAACACAGTTTCAGCAGCCTTCCAGTTTAAAAAACAAAACAAACAGACAAAAAAAGAGAAAAAGGAAAAAAGTCAAATAATAGTTGAAGTCAGAAATCCCATAGTGTTTTATTTGTTCTCCTAGGTATATGATACCACGTTATCTAGATACATCCTTCTGAAATGTGGGCACTGAGCCTGAAAGGAATCTTTCTTTATCGCTTCATTTCAAGGCTTTGGCTAGGACTGAATAAGAGGAAATGTATTGAGTGTTGAATCACTGACCTTGTTCCTGCAGAGGGCTGAATTTTTCTTTGGAGAGCTTCTGGTAAACTAATTTGACAGCTAAACAGCGCTATCCGTTATACATGATGCTGGAACTAGAATTTGCTAGAGCCTATCCTTGGTGCTCCATGTTCTGCCGGGGCTCTTGTGTCGTGGTTGTGAGAGCCTGTTGCAGGACTATAACCTTAATTAGTGGATCTGCATGAGACCGCATGGGTGAGCGTGTTGGCTGGAGTGTTGGAGGACTGGGTTAGGATGGTGAGAAATTCAGCAGTCTGTCTTTTTCCTGCCCAAGACTGTAAATTGAAAAATATGTGATGCAGGATTTTTGCAAAGGATGTGTTCAGTAAAAAGAATGGAAAAGTGACTAAAGGGTTATAAATCCTACTTTTCCTTTTTACAGCTAAAGAGAACGAGTCTGTATGTCAGATATGCTTATTACTGACTATACCTTCAGAGGCATTATTAAAGGCAAAATAATCTGCCTGTGCTAATCCTGTGGTACTGTAGTCATGTTCTTGTACTGTCACCTCATGTTCTGTCATACAGTTTTCTCTGTAACAAGCCTTGTCTGTACACCATGCTCTCTTTCAAGATAATTAATGATGTGAAAGATGAGAGAAGCAGAAAGTGGTTGCACTTCCAAAGCAGTCAGAACAAATCAATAGTAACTTCCACTTGTCTTGCCACTGCAGATTGAGTGTTAGCATCAAGGTCGGCAACAAGGGGTATCCTTTGATGAACTTCACCCTGTGGTACCTTGTTTCACCTGTGCTGTGGTAACATGTAATGCAGATTTTGGTTGAAGAAATTCCCCACAGTAGTTTTGGCTAATTTGAGAAGGGTCATATAAAAAAGGCAGGAGAGGATCATTACCATTCGTACACCGTTTCATCACATGTATTTTTGGTGCCTCCCTGCTGTTGCAAGATTTTTGGAAGAGAGAAGTTGAGTTGGGTTGGCTGTAAGGCCAGAAACATCTTTCATAGTTTTACTTTCTTTTGGGAAAATGGCTCGGTTGTTTTTCTCCACTGCTTCCACAGTATTCTTCATCTTAATCATTCATGAGTCAGAAGCCTTGAAATTCTTTGTGTGCAAGTCTCATTTCGGTTCACCTAGGGAGCCTGTCACTTTGCCTTCTTTAGGGAAGTCACTGTAAGCAAACTAGAAAGAACCAGTAAGGACATCTAGTCCAATCCTTGTGCCAGTGGATGGCTTATACTTTAATACTAAATGAGGTAAAGCAATAAAAAGTGTCTTAAATTTTTATTACTTAGCAGATCAAACAGCCAGGAGAATCTACTTTGAAAGCCATCTTCCTCTTTTGCACAAGATTCAGAACAAAAGTAGTACTCTGGCTTCCTTAGTAGCAGGCTGTCTTTGGGATTTCTTCATGTCTTCAAGCAGTGGATTGGAATTCCGGGTCAGAATAGGGCATATTTAACAAGCACTGAAGACCCCCAGACAGTCACAACAGCATACGAATGATTAAGAACATTTGGTCTGGCCCTGCCCTTTAAAATTGTTTATGTTTTTAATACTTTTTATTCCAGTAGATGCAAAGAAATGATCAAAGGAGTAAAATCACGTGACCGGGGATTTAGGTCTGTAAATAAACTCAGTTTAAAAATGGACATAGGCTTCCCCTTCCTCACCCCACCCATAATTATTTCCATTCCGTCTTTATAGAGCTTGACTTTTGTACCAAATGAAAGTGAAGGCATACACTGCATCTGTAAATGGAAGGATATTTAGGTTAAAGATCTGGGTTTTTCTCTTGAAATCAATATTTCATTGGTAAAAAACCATAAGGACGCATTTGTAGTGCTAGCTCTTCTTGCTTCCATTAATCTTTAAAAAAGAGTTCTTTTAATGTAAATATAGAAATGGAATGTATAAATATCAAAGTATTTAATTAACATATGCATGATGTATCCATACTGGAAATAGAAGACAATTCTTGTCAACCATGTAATGGGTCTACAATGTATTTCGCACTTGAAAATGCATGTTCGTTGGAAGATAAGAAACTGAGCCATCCTTTTCTTGCTCAGATGAAATAGGATATCATACTGCACTGGTGGATCTCCAGAGGTATCACCAGTCTTTTTTTCATTGTGTTTAATTAGCCATTTTAACATAGCAGATCAGTGAGCAGCATAATAATTTGTTAGAATTCACAGTAGCAGCTGATAGCAAATTATGCCACCTGTGACTTAAAAGCCTGCAAGAAGTTTGGGAGTGGTGTGAGGGGAAAGCCTGTTTGCTTCATGCTGTTGAGAAAGACTTTGCCACTAAAAGGCTGGTTCCATGAAACATCAAGAGAAAGAACTTCTGTAAACGTACAGTAATGCAGATTACATAAGCAAGGCGTTAAGTTTTGCAGGAGCTTTTTATTCTCGATTTCGAGTCTCTTTTACAAATTTACGTTCTTCTCTTCAGAGAGGTGCTTTAAAGACACTGCAGATTTTCCTGGATTCTATAGTCCCATGTGTCATTCTAGTACCATCTTTTCTTTCTTCCTTTCTTTCCCATAATCACTTGATTCTGGTTTTAAACTCCTGCTTTTTCCTGAAATATTTTGGTAATTTTAATCTTCTGTATGTAAAGGTTTAACTTTTACAGAGTAGGTATGATTTCTGTGTTCCTATGGCCACCATTAAAAGTAAGTCATAAGCTGCTTACCCTCACAGTCTATCTTCTGATGAAGCAAACCAATACTTTTATCTGTTGGTAATAAGACCTTACATGCCTTCTGGGTGTGCCCTGAGGGTATGGCTGCCTGGGTACCCCTTAGTGAGGTAAAGATCACCAGATAGTTGTGTTATGCAACAATTCAATCATACTGGCCAGTGTATTGTGCAGCTAACCTGCTTTGGTCCCTTATCTGGTCTGTGGACACCCCTTTAGACTATTTGGATCACAGTCCCTCACTTGTGACAGTCAATAATAGCATATTTCGCACTTCAACAGGCATAGCTGTGTTGAAAAATATTCAGATCCTGTGATGACGACCCACAGAAGTACTCAAGATTGCATCCATGTTGACGTGCCATAGCAGCCCTGAAGCTAGGCTTGAGTCTAGATTTACTGCTTGTCCCCACCCTCAAGGCCAGGTCACTCTCAAAGATAATACAGATAATAGCAAGGATAGTATTTCTTCTAAGGTGACGATATGAGCAGGGTAGACTGTATTCTCCATCTGTCCTTCTTGCAGACAGCATGGGGTAAGGGTCCTTCTTAAAATAATGTTATCTTCTGCAAAGAATATAGAGAGAGGGCCTGAACTCAGGCAATACTAAGGGATGTTTTACTTCTGCATAGCCTCAGAAGTCTGCTACTTCAGTGAATATAAACATAAATATGTAGGAAAGAAAACTTTTGTGGGAATTGATGCTAGCAAAACCGGGTTCGAAGAGGAAGTAATAAAAAAAAAAAAAGTGGATCTAGAAGAGACTGTGATTAGCTAATCCATCCCTCTGCCTCAAAGCAGGATTAACAATACCTAAAAAATATTAGGTTACCTTTTCCATTCTGGACATTAGATGGTAAAATGTGCTTAGATCAAAGTTATTTGGACCCTTTTTAAACAGGGAGTTAAGGAAGCAGGTCAGAGCAGCATTTCTATGCAAGATTCATTGGTCTATGCAAGGATAATTCTTTTCAAGAGATGGAACTAAGATATTTAAAAGGCACATCAAGTATTCATGACTTGTTCTGTAAGATGTAGCATCCTACTGGAAATTTACCGTGATGTGATCTAGGTTGTTGCACTGGATAAAGATGTCTTTGCCTTTAGAAGTAAAAAGATGCATGGGTGGCATTTTTAAATTACAGAATTTTCTCTCTTGACATTGCCTGTATCCACCACAACGTTGTCGCAACCTGAGCTTTTTTTCTTGCAAAGAAGCTGTGCCTTTTGTGGGCAATTGAACTTTTGCCATGGGTTATTTTTCTTCTTGATGAAAAAATGGGTAAATGTCTTTAATGCCCAAACCATCATTATTCTGCTCTGTACTGGACTACAGATGTGTTTGTGTGAAAACATTGTCAACCCCTTTCCTCTTCTCCAGAGAACAAAAAAAACCATTCTACATAATATCTGTAATAGAAACAGCGTTGGCGATATTTCTTTCTCTATGGAGATCCAAAAATTAAAATGGGAATCTGGATCAGTAGGGATTTCACTTCCCCTGCTGTGTACAAGCATTTAGAGAAAAAAGTCAAATCCCTTGCTAGAACTTTTCAAAGGTATTTTCAGCTCTAGACAGTTATTCAGGGAAAGGCTCCCTGCCCCAGTGATGAGAATCTGACACCTGTGGACAAGCTCGTCGATGGTTTATTTAGAAGGTCTTGGATGTTCTCCTGTAAATGCTGGGCATGCTGAAGTCATTGCCTTTGCAGTGCTAACTTTTGAGTGACTTGCTCGGTTCCTAGGTTTTCCAAGTTTTTCCTAAAACCCTGGGGGGGAAAAGCCTACTTCTCCAGCCAGAAGCCGCTCCTCTATGGAGTCCTCTGCATGTCACTGTGGGTCTTAAAGGCTGAATATGTCTCCCTGTGTGTTTACGTGTGAGAGAGGTGGGGTGGGTCGATCTCCACAAAGCAGTGGAGAAAGCATACCGTACTGCACCTTCTCCTT